CGAGAAGGCGGGCAGGGCCGAGGGCGGAGCGGCCCCGACCCGGGAGGATATAAGGTGGGTCCCTGAGAAGGACCGGGGTCGTTGCATTCGACAAATTGGAAGCTCTACGTCCTACGAGGCATCAACACGTGGTCGGGGACCCGAGTGAGAGTCCAACCCTTCGTAGCTGTAACTCCTCCGTAGAGTGTAGTTAGCTGGGTGGTCACCACCCTAGGCTGTATCTGGTAAAGGGGCAGAGTTACCCCTTTGTGTTACGTGTTGATGTTAAATAAATGTGTTGCCTCTAAAGAATAACGTCTGCGACTCAGTTGGACTCACTACATATACAAAAAACATCGATGTATCTTTTTGTTTGCTAAATCCCTTCTAGGCATGGCACAAAGTTCCATTGCATGACTGAATCTGCTTGACGCCTGAAATTATGCTTAGTTTTGTTAAAATGAAATACAAACAATGCAGATCCATATTAATACTAAGATACCATATTTTTTCAATTCCTTAACGCGTATCACGCATAAGTGCACATGTTATATCTGCTTTCAGCCCTAAACCTACATCTTGCAATGTGTAATTTGCGGTTCATTCAAGTTTTGTTTAAAAAAGGTTGCAGTTTGCTTCACAAATATTAACGCACTATTATAGCTTGCAGATCAATATCAATGCTATAGTGTAGATTTATGGAATTTCAAAGAACCTTTTTATCTCAGCATTTAATTTTTGCCCTATAGTTTTTAAATGTTGACGTCTGTGTCTAAAAGTTGTAATTTCGTTGGTAACATCCTGCATAATGCCATGTTTGCGTGACATTTTATCACAATAAAATTAACAGGGTCCAATTTACATATTTTACATACAAATTGCGTTACATATTTCACATAGGAAAATTGACAGCGGCGTAGACCTGGTCTGGGTACATTGGAAGTGTGACTGTGAAACGGATTTTCAGCTTTACTGAAATAGATTCACCTTGTCTGATGGAGCACTGCCAAATCCCCGTAGATCTCTAGGGGTGACTTTGTCACTGAAGAAGGTTGTAATCAGGGAGGATCAATTTGTCGTTTGTGCGGTGGCAGACATATCTATCCTGTGTAACTGTTGAATAAAACCTGACTGTGCAGTTCTTTGCATGGTTTCAGATGCAACTCAATGGCAGTTAAGGGATCACGATCAAAGTGACTTTCCTCCAAAACAAACGAGGCAGTCCTCGTTTATGTTGGCAGCTATGATCCAACTGTAAATTCCACATTCCTATGGTGGAGACCATTCTCTCCGTAGCACAACCACAGTAGACTTCATTATAAGTGTTATTCGTTGTTCTCAATCCTGCAGAGATGGGGAGATGGGTGAACTCCCAGCCTTCTGCTTTTGAATAGAATGCATTGACCACAGCATCATCTGGCTGTATTGAGAAATCAGGCAAATTGCATGGTTACACAAAGTAATAGATTCCTCTGTGGGCTTACATTTCCTTTGCTAATTCCCTAAACCTTACAAAGTGCAACTTCCACAATGCTTGACTCATACGCTTTGCATGATTTTTGTCACCATTTGAGCTGCTTTTCCGTGTGTAATGCATCTTCTGCTTTATTTGTCCAACAGAATGGCTATGAGTGCTAGCAGTGCTAAAGGTAGGCTAGAAACATGCTTTAAAAGGTACAGTATTTCCTTCCTTTCGCTTTAGATTCGATGCACTAGGCTATGCGCTTGCAATCTCTGCCCATTGTCCACATTCATCACTCCATCAACATCAATTAGGGCCCTATGCTCCTTTAAGAAGCAAATTGAATACAATTGCAAAGTGGTTGTTGAATCAATTGTTTATGTCCATGTATTGTTTTGACACGTGAACGGAGTAATTTAAAATTGCAGCATTACTGAAGTGGTCATTTGCGTGAGGGGTGAGAGCAGTGAGCTGGAACTACTGAGAAGATCCTGGGGTTTGAATCCAAGCGTGTGTTTAAATTAGATTATCTAGTGTTAGTGGATTGATGGCCTCAGCCTGGTCACCAACGATTGCACCAAAAAACATTACATTTTGTTTCACACTTAAAATTAAAGTATTGGTTTGAGACTCATGAAACAGACTTTGCGCTCCATGATAGAGCTGAATTCCCTTCGTGTGGAACAAGTCAATGAAATGGATCTCAGAGGTAGATCTGTGATGTCTGCTTCCACGCGCCATTCTCAAGCACTCAATTTGGCATTGCTTGAACACATCCAAGAGGATAAGCACCAAAGGAGATGGAGCAATGAAATTACAGGTGTTTGCACACTGCCCTACACACCCAGCAACCTGAGTTCCATTCCCCGGACAGGGTGAACATCATTGGTGATTCTATGAATGGGTCCTCAGCCTCTCCTAAGTCAGCTCGGCCATAAATGAATAACTGGAGTGATTCCAGTACAAACATGAGACCACTTCAAGATCGTGTGTTCCAGAACCGCCAATTAGTAACACAGTTCAGATTTGGGTTAGTCACCTTGAGATCTCATTATCATTACTGTTCTCAGCCCAGCTCCTGCAACAAGTTCAGATTAGAATTATGCATATTACTGTGTAGGGATTACTATTAATTCTATTGTAACACTGACACTGTTTAGAGCCATTTGAGGTATGTTGAATAGACACTACATTGTCTACAGGGGCTAAATAATGTGTAATACAAATAAATGTCATGAGATCTGCATGACTTCTATTGGTCAGGGTGGTGGTAATGCATATAACAATGAGCTTTTACAATGCAAGTGCTATAAAATAGGCGACTTCAGCAGTGAGTCTCAGTGCAGATTTGTGAACTCAAATCAACGAGTATTGAATTTGTAGATAGGGTCAGCAGTGCTCCCGCAGCATTTGTGATTTTTTTAGTTTGGGACTTGGCACCAAAATAGCAATTATAAAATGTATTCTGTCATAATTGAGCATGTTATTAACACGTATCGAACATCTGCATGAGGTTTATGAGGCCCAATCAGACATACTGTACATTCAATTTCTGAATGTTCATGTTCTCGATCCAGCATCCATGCAGGAATGATCAAGTTAGTACTATTTTGTGGACAATCGACGAAATTACAATGCATGGAGAGGCTAACCCCCTCAGAATGAGAATATGGGATTGCAAACACTGGGTCAGGGTCAGTGGTGGAAATTGGACTGGCCATGAGGTCACTTGAACAGAGAGAGACTTGGATTTCTATTTTACGCCAATTATGATCGGCTAATGGTGTCTCAAAATACGTGTCCGTTTTGAAAGCCAAAGAGTTGGTGGCTAGCTGTGGCTATTGTGGTTGGAAGATGCTTCGTTGTGACCAAATATCAGACATTCTCATCCCTCTCCTCGTTTAGAAGACACTTGCCCTTGTGACGGTCATGGCTGCTGGCAATCGGGGAATCGATAGTGTAACACAAAAATGACATTGTTGAGGTTGACCATGACTGATTATAGTCACTATAGCTGACATGACCTGAACAATGACTTCTATTTCTAGCCTAATCCTTAAACCTGGCCGGTTGTTTATGGTCATATAAAATGGAGTGTGTAATTTATATTGGCGTGGTGGTGCACACCAGTAATCCAGTGTTGAGGGTTGGTGGGATCACACAAATATGTTCATATTGGTACAGCAATAAGGCTGATGAAATTGGTATATAATGTTCAACTGTATTTTCCTAATGCGTGTTGTTTTCTCCAGATTGTCGTATCTTCACTTGTAAAATTCTCATCAAGGAATTAGCCAAACATCCCAATACGGGAGGCTCCTGAAATGTTACAATAAATTAAAATAATTTAACAGGTATCCCTCGATTTAAGGATGTTCGGTTTATGAAATTTCGCGTTCACACAATTGACAAATTATGAACACTTTTCAATTAACAAATCGAATTTCCACGGTATAAAAATCTCACACGGCACCCGCGATAAGATCAAACAAGAGCCACCTTGGGAGGCTGCATCATCCATCCACGGCAGTGTAACAGTAATTGCCTCCACGTCGCCTTTCCACTCATTCCACCATGCGGTTATTTTGGCGAGTTCCCTGAAAAGGATAATTTTTTTGTTCATTATTTAATCAGCTTTGTTTCTTTTTTTGGATTAAGAAAAGTGATATGAGGTGTATATTTTACGTTAGGAGGTAGACTGTCCGAAACACATGCGTATTTTTTTTATGGGAAGAGCAGTTCCGATCTACGAAATTTCGTTTTGCGCGTGTGTTTTTGAAGATCGCATCCCGTATGCAAATCGAGGGACACCTCTTCATTGTATAAAAATTAAATTGTATTTCAACAATTGATTAATATTTTCTTTGCAGTGCATTTCATTTCCTTGAGAATTCTACGTGATGTGATATGGGTGTGCTATATATACACTCTCACTTTTGATCTGTGATTATGGATCTTATGATATCCTCCAATGGCTCTGGGTAATATAGAATGCATCTCTCTGCAAGTTTTTCTGCATTCATCGATAAAAACAAGACAATCGTATGCTCAAGATACATGTATAAATCCTCAAATTGAGTTAAAGGATCAACTGTTAATTATATAGATTAATACCAATACATACAGTTTTTTTAATAAGTAAATCATGTTGATCTACCTTTTCACTATATCGAAGTTGTATTATTTTATACAGATCCCTTGTATTTGTGCAGAGGCGCCACCAAATTTAATCATGTGCATATTAATACCATGGTCATGCTCCATTTCACAAAAAAATGTACTCAAATCATGAACATAGGTGACCGAGTTATTAAAAGTCTCGTCACTTACTGAAACACCCTAATATATTAAACAGTGCAAAAAAATTGAGTGTAATTGAAACTCGAATTGTATATAGGAGGGGTGACATGTCACATGTCTACTTTCCTGGATAAATGATCGATTCTATTTTTCACAGCATGTTATGTATTGCCGCATCACAGGATGCGGTGATTATGCACCTACATTCGCTTACCTGTGGTCCTGCCGTTCAAGCGCACCCTGCGTTTTGTCACCGCAGGGCACTGACAAGGAGGACCACATGGAGAGCTCAGCACCTCTGCTTTCCAGTGACATTCTCACAGCCGTCACGAACGCCGATGTCATAGTCACGCAGGTGCAGTGAGGCAGCGCCTGCACAAGGCGCTCCGCCACTGTTCTGTGTCACTGGCTAAACCAGCCACATCGTACACCTGTGAACCGGACTGACTGTGTGGTCATGCCATGGAGGGGCTGGAGTTGGGCTGTGTTGGGGATGAGCATCAGCGCACAGGGCTTCACATGCACATTGAGACGGTTCACGCTCGCGCTGTTGTAGGAATGTGCATACTGGCACAATCGGGTATCTGTGCCAATGCTTGGGCCAATAGAAATCTGTGGAAGCACTCAATTAGTTGCACACTTTGTTCATTCAAGTACTTTTGTTTATTCCACATCCATAAGTACTTGATGAGGAATTGGCCAAACATTCCAAGGTAGACCCCTCCTGCTGCTCTTGAGGCTCGGCAGCTTGGTGAGGCTTTCCTGGGTGATTAAAGGACTTATTATTTAATAAACTACAGTAGTTTGGATCGTCACACAAAGACATGCTCAGCCATTGTCCTCTTTGTCGAGAGAGGCCTACTGTGGTTTGATCGAAACTTTAATTATATGCTTCCGTAGATCTCTATTGGTCTTGGCAAATGAATCGTGTGCTAATGTTATGGGAACGTTTTAAGACCTCAAATCGCTCCTAAAATCGTCTTTTAATTTGTAAAAAATACTTTTTTTTTATGAAAACATGACGTATGCTCAACTTTGTATGTTTTATTTGTTACTTGCTATTCACGATGTTTGAACATTTTTATATGAACGTTTTCTTTAGTAAACAACGAGCAAGCAATGACTGCTTTTGAATATCTTGCTGGAACGTGTTTGAAATGTCACGTCTCGTAATTCAGGTCTGTAGGAACCGCTTGATGTATGTGGAAGTGAAAAAGCTTGGGACAATGTTTTATTGTGGTGTTGTAGGCATTAACCCATAATCAGTGGTTACACGTGACTGAAACGAAAGCGTAAATTAAATGTAACATTTAAATGAGTACTCAATAATGTGTAATGTCGATGAATAAATCTTCTTTCGTCAAGAGTATTGGATCATTGTGCTCCTGCTACAAGGAATTAATTTCCACCACTTAGCCACCAATGTTGAGGAGCACCATCCATTACTCATTTTAAAGAGGACACGTTTTAGCTTTTGATAGGACAATTTGGTATTGAATTCCATTGCATTTTTAATTATTTTATATACCTCACAGTTTACATCGCACGCAGTGTTGTAAATATTGTACGAAACCCATTTTTTTATATAAAGTTGTATTTTGTGCCTCCAAAGTCAAGCTAACAGTTGTGTAAAAAAATAATCCTTAGTTGATGATAATTCCAGCACTTCCACATATATCAGAAACCTTAATGTTAAACACAGTCATAACAAAGCAATTTCACCTTGTCATTACATTTAGTATATACATGCAGATCTGTGAATATTACCATGTTGACATGATTTATATTACACGTAGAATATTGAAAATAATGCCGTTCCCTTAGTTTTCCCATTCGTGATACATTTGTACATTGGTATAAATATGTTTTAATGCTCAACTCTGCTTCACCCATTTCACTTGGTTGGCAGATTTGCCAAACCTGCAACTGTTGTTAAAAATAGGTGAAATTTTCCACAGCTAAGTGCTTTTGTGACTTGATTTTACTTGGGTGAAGGCTTTGAAATGGTGTTTAATTCATTTAAATCAAACACATGTTCAACACTTATTGGACATGAGATAGAAACATGTTTGTGAAGGTTTGTGATACAATTATTAATATTAAATGTAGCCTAATTGGTTTTCATATGGATATTACACTTGCCATTTTTACTTTTACAAATTCAGCACAATACTTTGTAACCTAGACAGTTTTATAAAGCAGTATTTTTTTACAAATCATTTGCAATATTTGGTTTTACGACTATGGCACATTCTCTTTTGTAACGTGTCACATCCATATCTACATTGTGCTTGTTGATATTGCACTCACATTAGGTAATCTGATCATCATTTGTGGCTGTAAATAAATTGTCCATTTGATACATATGCTTGGTGTGTAATGTTTCTCACAGGTTAAAATTAGGTTTTAAAAGGTGTGATTCAATACCAAAATGTTGTTTACTCTACAGCATCCCAGAGCTAATATTCTACGTATTGTTATCTTAAGTTTAATTGTCTTGTTTTGTACTGGTATTGGGTACAAGTAAGGCGTTAATTCTTCAGTATTCTGCCATCTCCAGTAACACACTCAAATAGCCTCGCCACATTTCAGGGTGGTATTTTTCAAGAAGTCACTAACAGGGGAAATAGCGTGCTTGTGTCAAGGTTAGATTGCCACTACAAATATTGAATTCCCCACTTCTGCCTCCCGTCACTTTGGTTATGCAGGAGTTGCAACACTTGAGTGCACACAAGCAAGTTCATAATCCGTTACCGATTCAATTTTTTTTGCACAACTTGGGCTATTCGAATCCATGGGTGACACCTTTCACCGAACTCTGCAGCTAACATTTAAATGTTAGCTTGACAGCAGAAACTGGGATTACTGTTCCCCAGCGCGACACTTTTTAATCTTGGAAATACCCGGCCACCGTGGCGAGATGTTAACTCCCTCACCAGGTATGCAGGAGATTTTTCTTCGGGTCCTCCGGTTTGTCCTCCACATTTAGAATACACATGCGTTGAGAGTATTTGGCTGCTATAAATGTACACATAAGCCACTTCGTTGAGCTATCACTTGTGGCGAGGTCGCTTCTGAAAAAAGTTTTCGGTCCGTTGGCCTTACCTGGTAAAATAAAGCTTTTTCATTTTAAATAGTTTAACATCACAAAATTGTTGCCACTACTACTCGACAAACTTTACATAATCTGCCATGTACGATAAGAACAAACCTAGCGATGAAGGGCAAAACATACATCTTCCGTAATCAAGCGAGAAACAATTTTTGTGGAGTTAAATCCCACACGCAATAGCTGTAAATGCTTAGGTGCCAATAGGATGTGTCACTGATGGAACATTGAGTAACTGAGCCCATTTATTATTCAGAAGTTTTATGAATGTTAGTGCAGTGGTAACACTTGCTTTGTGCCTCGGCGAGAAATTCCTGGTTTAGAATCCCGACTCGGGTTAATTTTTTTTGTTGAGTTCGTATGCTCTCACCTCGTGCATGGGTTTCATCTGGGTTTTCAGATTTTTTTCGCATTGCTTTCACAGCGTGCAATGCACCTAGTAATGCCCTGCAAATAGTGGTTCTTTAAAACAGGACCTTAACGGTGGAGAAATAAAATAAATTTCGATTTAAAGCTTTCGTGACTGCAATGATTCATCTTGTTTGGTTCTTTCGGTAAAGAATATTATTGTGTTATTTGATTTTATCAATTTATTATTTTATTCTCATTCTACGTGACTTTACCGAAAGAACCAAAGAAGAAGTAAAATAAAGTCAATCGTCAATTCTAAAAACAATGGCAAGTCTACATTGAACACGAAGTACCCTGCCACAATTAACAAAACCTACGGTGCACACACAAGTGTAATTCATGGCATGCCACATGCATGTCTTCGTCATTGAGGCTACTTCTGAGCTGCTGTTAACGTTTCAAGACGGTAAACGATTCTTCTCGACATGGGACCTTGTTTGCCAGTATCAAAGTATGAAAACAATAATAGGGTTCACCCGTTCTAGCAATAGAACAGGTGTTAAGATGTTCAAACACAATATAAACCTTTTGCAAGGAATCATGCCTGTATCACCACACTTGTGGTGAATACAGACATGATTCCACATTTGTGGTGAACATACAAACAAAAACATGCTCTGATAATGATCCCTTGCAAAAGGTTTATATTTGGTGTTTGAACATTGTAACACCTGTTTTATTGCCAGAAAGGATTAAACCTATATTTTTTCAATTGTTCTCGAGTTTGCAAAAACATGCACCCCCACCTAGTGGATAATTTCGGGATTCCATATGGCTTATAAAAAAACGAATTGATGTAATCTTGATTTGAAGCTTTCGTGACTGCAGGAATCCATAGATAATTTCTGCCAATGGTAAAAGTATATTTTTTTAATCCTGTTCACAGCTCTAAGGCAGTTGTAGAAACTCCATGCAAATGATTACCACTGTTGACTTATCACAAAGTGTCGCTGATCTTATTGGAACCAGAGCGATGAAAGGATGATGCTATCCCCGTCCAGATAATATAGGTGTATTTCGCTTGTGTGCCTTACTATATACCACTCATTCTGGCAAATTACCGCATTTAAACGGCTGAATGCTGTATTTAATCGTAATGTGGAATGCTAAAATCTGTTGGATGTGCTGCATGAACATAGATTGCCAGGTTGTTCCCATGCAATGCAGTGGAGTTTAATCTGCGTTATTTCACTTCAAAAGTTGGTAAGCATGTTTTTTTTGTATTTGTTTTTATACAAATTATGCCTTAGCTTTTTTTTACAATTAAGGTATGTAAACCACCCCCTGCAGCTCGAAGCGATGTCCATTGCCATCCATCTGCTGTGTACATTTTAATAATTTAGGCAAGGGGTGCTGTAAATAGAAAAAAGAAGCCACCCAAGATTGAAATGGAGATACGGTGCAATGGAGAGGCAGGGTAAAGAGTTTAGGGGCGGTATCCACCCGTCAACGTATTGCTAGCCATACCAATAGCTATAACCAACTCGCCAGCCATTAATAAATAGCCTCACTACCAACTAATCATAACCGCCTACCCACCAGACATTAAATACTACAAATTGCACCGGCTATAAACAATGAACAACCATGACTTAAAGCTGTCGTGACTGCAGGAATTCATATTCTTTGGGTCTTTCGGTAAAGTCACGTAGATAGGTTCAAAGAAAATAACGAAAAAACTACGACGTTTCGATCGCAACACAAGCGTTCGTCATCAGGAAGAGGGGGTTTGCTTCTAAAGGTAAACTGTTTATAAAGGTTTAAAATGGGCGTAGCCCAAATGTCAGGAGCCAATGAGAATGTGAGTGGTGGGCAGCGGCCGCGACGGTGGTGGGTTTTCCCACCAATCAAAGCGCTGCCCAGTTAGCATGATAATGGAAGATCGTTCAGCAGTTTCCACGGCGGGCACCCTGAGGTGGCTATGTTAATGTGAGAGATTAGCATGTTAATGTGAGAGATTGGCATGTTAATGGAAGATCACAAAGCAAAAACCTCAAGCTCGGTGAGCGAGGTGGCTGCTTTGGTGAGAAATTTAACCTGTTAATGCAAAATCAGAGAGCCGAAAATAACAACTAACATCGGAAGGTGGTAGGATGGGAGCATCACAGCTAGTTATGACTTAAACTGGTTCACAACGTCCTTCCAATTATTGCTTAGTTTATACCCATCTTCTCAATTGAAATTGTGTCTGTGTCTATATATATTGATGGCTTCATGAACGAATCTTTGTTGATCGCAATGTGGGTTTGCAAAGTACCTTCGTCTTAGAGAAATCAATTTCGTGTGGGCCCACCGCATTACAACAATGATCAGCCACAGCTGAGGTATTGGTCCTACCGTGTTTCAGATCTGTCGCTAAGTTTCCCCAATGTAACTACTGCCGCAGACACAGCTTAGTTTGTAGATGGGCTACGCCCATTTCAAACCTTTATAAACAGTTTACCTTTAGAAGCTAACCCCCTCTTCATGATGACAAACGCTTGTGTTGCGATAGAAACGTCCTAGTTTTTTGTTATTTTTTTGTTCTTTTCTTTGAACCTATCTACGTGACTTTACCGAAAGACCCAAAGAAAATGAACAACCAACCACGAGCAATGTCTCACTGACCCTAACCAACGAGCCAACCAACCACTTATGAGCCATCCAATTGACGCTTACTCCAACTAGCTATTAGTATTTGTCATTCCAAATCATCCAAACCATTTAGATAGCCAAACAGTAGCGTTAGCTCTATTTCCCCTAACCAAAAGCAATTAGACAACTATCCACAGGTATTATCCTATCTGACTCAAACCAACTAGCGAATCACCCAATAGTGTTAGCTCTCCCACTGAGCCTTACCCTTCACAAACTATTCAGCCGGCCACTGATATTAGCTCTGCAACTGATCCTATCTGTACTTACAGCCCTCCCGCTAGCTGCCCTTTTCACGGTTTGTCCTCTTTAGTTGTGTGTTCACAATACACAGCACCAGCATCACAAAGGTCGCTTTTGGAGTTTACCATTTATCTTGACATCCAAACACAACCGCTGTGAAGACAGCACCGCACATAGGGAGACAACGCACTGCGATCCAGTTCTCTAAACAATAATCCTTGTCACTCGTTTGTTCCTGGAGCAATTATAAAAAAAAAATCACCACTATAAGGCCTGTAAAACTAGACTGATCGTTGTGAAATTAAAAGGCGTTGGCTGTTTAGACCTCTAAGAGTTATATTAGAATAAAATATAGTTTCCTTGCTTAAAACGGCAATTGACACCCATGCTCGCTCAATGGCCGTATGCCGGAGGTAGAAATTCGATATCGATTTCGCCGGAGCCAGTCTTTCTCTACAGGACAACCACTTTATTCCACACTAAATGTTGATTTGCACTAACCCACTGGTCCTAAAGATCTTCCGAAGTTATAGAGATGCGAGATAGCTGGAAACCTCACCACTTACCACTAAATCCTCCTTGTCTGATCTCGAAATCTTAGAACCTAAGCAGGGTTTAGTCTGGTTAGTACTTGTGTAGTGTCTTCAAAAATCACTCAGACTGACACGTTGTAACAAGTCACCTGCTTACACTTTATTGACCTATTCTTGCACCAGTACCCCTAGAGCTATCTGTACGGTCACTTAGATCTAACTTCTTCCCACTCGCGTTTACGTTACACCTCGCTTATCCTGCCCTCGGCAGCTCTGTTCTCAGCGACTCCGCACACAGCATCCTCGCACACAGCGCCTTCGCACACAGCACCTTCGCACACAGCGACTTCGCAGACAGCGTCTTCGCACACAGCGCCTTCGCACACAGCGCCTTCGCACACAGCGCCTTCGCACACAGCGCCTTCGCACACAGC